ACCGGTCCTACCACTTCATTTTGATTTATGAAAATTTCTCCCACACCCCATCATCCTTAGTCTGATCAGCCTTTCAGAAGCTGTAGCCAGAGTGAGGAAAGGTGTCCAAGAATCCCTGCAGGTGTAAATTTAGAGGTACCACAGAAATAATACCCACACACACACTAATGGAGGCTTAAAAAACATTTTAATGATTCCAAATTGATTTATTCAGAAGTAAAAATGTACAATTGTTTTTTCTTAAAACATACAAATAGGTGTCTTCAAAGTATCAAAATATGCAGCTCAAAAATATAATTTTAGCACGGGTTAACATGTTGAGATTAACGACGCCCTTTGCATTTTAATAAATAAAACACACGACTGGACTAATTCCAGATTTGCACTAACATGCTCACCTATGAGGAAACCAAAAGGCATAATTCTGATTTACAGATCATACTGAAGGCACAAGTAACACAGGAACAAAACTCAAAACGGCATATCTCACATTCAATTTTAGATACCATGAAATGTAAAAAAACATGTAAGTGGTTCATTTTAAAGAACAGCTGAAGTACTAACAGAAACAAAAGGCAAGAACTCCACCTTACAAACCTGTAAGAAACCTGAAAGAGTGGTCTGCCTATGTCCACTTAAAAGAGGTGTCGGATGTGCAAGATCCTTAAACTCGTTAATCTTTCCGTGGTGCACCATTTCAAGTATCCGATGTTTTTCCTTGGGGAATTAAACTTTGGCTCACAGAGTGTACAGCTGGGAAAAATGACTAAGCAAAGCCTCACAAACTCAGTCTCCCTCAATTAGGGTTTAATCCATTTCACAGTGATCTTTTTTAGCTCTAATCCAGACACCTGCCGGATTGAGAGCTGTAATCCCCAAACAGCACCAGAGGGTGTGAGGCTGGAGGAGAGGCTGCAGCTGTTGCTGATCAAGCCCACCACATCTCTGCCTTTCAGCAGCAATCCACAGGATTTGAATAACGCCACCATAGCCTGACAAGATTCTTCCAGGCCACACGCCCACCGTAGGGAAAGGCAGAAAACTGCATTTCTGTGGGAAAAAACGACGCGTCGATGAACAGCAGCACACAATTCCCTTGGCACTTCCTGGTATCTCCGCACACAACAAAGAGCAGAGCCGCACAGGACCCCAGACCCTCGCGGCTTTAATCCCCTTTCGATACTAAATTGCTTATTTTACTTACATCAACTAATTGATTATCTGATTGACTCAATTAAAGCCCTAGCTTGTTAAATAAAGCAGATGGATCATCTGGCTTGGAACTGCCAGGAGCTGGAGATTCACCTGCAGGCCGTCCTTCTGCTGCGCTCAGTCCAACAGCCGGACACTTCCCCGCTGCCACACGGATCCCACCCTGTGCCTCCAGGATCACCGTCGCCTCCCAGTCTCCTGAGCCCTCAAGCTACTTAGAGTGCGATAACAGGATCCACACGTACAAGGTGCACAAAAACCATGACAAAAACGGATGAAAATTAAATCGCTAAATTTAAAAGGACTTCCGATTTGGCTGCGACCTCTGAACTGAAAACAACGATAAACCCTGAAGAGCAAGTTATTAAAGAGTGTCAACTTAGTGATCCGAGGGCTGAGCTGCGATGAAAGCAGCTGACAGGGGGCTCACGAGGAGCCGTGTTTCTCAGTCCTAGTGATTTCCCATGCACTGGTAGTGCTTTCACTTCAGGCAAGCTGCTAAAAAGGCAAGGGTGAGGCACACAGCTCACATATTTAAATTCTAAGATTTTTTTTCAGGATTTAAGGCGCAAGGGCAGATTTCTCTACCCCCCCATCGCCATGTGCCGATGAGCCCAGAGGCCCAGTCACCCACTGATCTGGCTCGGGGAGACTCGGTCAAGGCCCTCTGCAGTCTTTGCAACGCACTAGGAGAGACGTCACAGCGCGGCCACCCCCCTTCACCCCAACTTTGGTTCAACGTCCAGAGCAATACAAAAGGAAGAACAGATATGCAACTAGTTTCCTTAATAAAATTACAGGCAAAACAAACCTCAAAAAGCCGGAAAAATCCAAAATGCCAATAAAACAAACACGGTATTTAGTGTTAAGTGTTGGTTGAACTCCAGTGTTTCAGCAGAGGAAAAAAAAAAAAGTCACTTTGCATAGCAGGTCTGCTGCAGTCGACAGGGAAGGCCATTCTCACCGAGCTGGAGGAGAAGCAGCACACCGCTCTCTCGTCCATCAGAGAGCCGACAGCCCACAGCTCCGGGACTGCTCTGTCCGGGACGCCGGGAAGCGTGGGCTGTTCACCAGCTGCAGCCCGAGCGCCTCCCATTCGGAGGGGTTAATGGCTTCCCCTGCATGCAAAGGTCACTGTGCAACTCGAAGCTCACCGGGGCTCTAACCAGTCAGACAGGCTGGGGACACCAATCCCCCCCTGTCTGGACTTCTCGGGGGCACAGCGGCTCCCCAGTTCGCTCCACCAGAGCAGGGGGTCCCCGAGCCCTGCGGGCCTCAATGCACCACGTGGTCGATGTCGTACTTCTCGCAGAAGTTGCTGGTGAAGGGCAGGCAGGTGAGGTGCTCCAGCCAGTGCCAGTGGATGGGGTAGAAGTAGAACCAGGCCACGAGCGAGGAGACGAGCCCCAGGTAGCCGAGCAGCGAGAGCAGGATGAGCACGCGCTTGCGGTACGTGTCGAAGGTGCCGAAGGTGACGTAGGGCAGGAAGGCGAAGGACAGCAGCAGGCCGCTCAGGAAGCCGAAGATGTGGGCGATGTTGTCGATCCAGGGCAGCAGGCCGCACAGGAACAGGAAGAGCACGATGCCCAGCAGCTTCAGGAACGCCTTCCACGGCTTCTCCAGCATCTGCCAGCCCTGGAGCAGCTCCACGAACAGGCAGGCCAGCAGCCCGAACTGGGAGCCCGCCGGCCCCACCTTCAACACGGGCACAGAGAGGCGCACGGTCAGCGTTCGGCCAGGAAAAGGCCGCCGGAAACAACAGGGCAGGAAAGAGCAGCGAGAACTTCCTCCTCTTAATGATTTTTGTATTTTCTTACGATATCTGATTGGGCGATTGGGCTGAGAAAGGTCAGAGGTTACAGGTCCCCCAGTTTATGCTCTACGTAACGGAAAGCTATAGGCAGTTAAAGGAAGGGAAGTTCACATTCAAAAACGGATTCAGACTCAACATGGTTCAACTATGGGGTGATATTCTTGTTTAAAAAAAGTTGGGCCAAGAACAAAGTTCAAGGATCATCAGAAAAGTCATTTTAAAAACTTAAGACGAGCCCACAGACGTTTTTTTTTTAAATACCTCTGTAACCCAGTCACATGCAGCTTATTGCCAGCGATGCTGTGCAAGGTTTGAATTTCAAGCAGTTACTAGAGTCACCCAGAAAAGCCGAAGCCATGCTGCATGGATCTGAATGGCTCTACCTCCCGGAGTGACAATGTGAACAGCAGGGGTTTCAGAGGCTGGCAGCTATAGTTTTCCACAGGGGGAGCTGGCTGCTTACTGGAGGTACACATGAGTGGTGGCGAATGAGCAGTTTGCAGATTTCGGACCTCTGTGGGTACATGACTCTTAACGGACTGCTACACACAGGGCCACTTTGGGCTTGCCCCCTTCCACGTAAATGAGGCGGGGGTCGGCAGAACACTGCAGACACATCTCCCACCACACCCCTGCTACCAGACTGCAAGGCCAGAAATAACCCTGCAGGTCATTACCAGAGAAGGCTACCAGGAGTGGGGCTGCAGCCCCCATTGTTTGCAAAGCGGCTCATGGACGACTGCACTTCCCTCTGCAATCAGTGAGAGCAGAGGCAATTACTGTACAGAGTGTGGGGGTGGGGAAGGTCAGAGCGAGACGGGCCACAGGTGCCGAGGGGGTGTTCCTGCAGCCCGATCGCCTGTCTGTGGCAGGTCAAAGCACAACTCCAGCTGGTGACAGTAACGTTTGCTCCAAGGAGATTGCATACTACAAATGCGTGCTATGAATAATGACTTCCATTTACATTTTCCATCTAAACAAACGTGCGCATCTGTGAATAAGCCCGGTGACGTGTGACTGGACAGGCTGAGCTGACCTGCAACTTTGGTACTATTTGTTCACGGTCTCAAATACTCATTTGCTACAACAAAACCCTAAACACTAGTCAGAGCTTTCAACCCCTAATGCAAAACACAGACCGGCTTTCGTTAGGACTGTGACGTGCCAATAACGAATGTACGTGTATAAGGCGGAAAGGGAGCAGAATTAATTCTAATTAACTCAAATCACAAAACAGGCTGCTTGGTTTTTAGAGTATGGCAAACGGAGAAATGAAAAGACTACTTCTCTCTTTGCTCTATAATGATACAGGTCTTCTGTCTTATTATAACAAGTTATGTTGGTTCAGAGCATCCATATCACTGACAGCTGGGCAACATGACTTACTCATTGGCATGCAAATGCAATTGGTCCCCTAAACAGAACCTTCCTCTGTGTGTGATGAAGACAATACTTAGAGCTACCAAGCATCACGGTTTGGTTTGGAGCTTCCATATTTTAGGCAACAAGTCCTTGCGTCTCCATAAAGGAATGGAAACAATTGGTTAAGTTCTTTGTCCCCCCCCCAACACTTTTGTTATAGGTATAGTATACATGCAGGTGATGGACAGATCTCGGTTTCACTCAAGGCTTCCCCAGTGTCACAATCCGCCCATCCGCTATTAGAAAGCTGCTTATTCCTGCTGAAGGTAAGGACAGTCCAGGACTCATCCCAGAAACAGAGGGAGCAAAGAAGTGCTGTACCCTGGAAGCCTTCTGAATCTAGGAGAAAACATTCAGAAGTGGGCGTGGGGAGAACCATCTGGAATCAAACCCCGAACCCAAGACCTGCGAGGCAGCCGTCCTCGCCACTACTTCACAACACGGCGCCGCTGGTGCCTCCTATGGATGTTCACACAACCAGCTGCATAAAAGCAGACCTCCAGCCCCTAGCTGCCGAGACCGCACATGTGCTGCATCTACTGATCTTCGACCAATGAAATAGTACCTCTAATCATCATCAAGTACGCCCCGGCTACGTTTTCAGCAGTCCATCAGTGGCTACTTCACAATGACAGAAATCTGAATCACACGACCCCAGGTTCGTGTTGGAAAGACTGCTGAATGCACCCAGCATATCATCCGCCTAACGGAACACTAGCCTTGTTAGAGGAAGGGTGCTCAACAGAGCTCAAAAGAGAAGCTGCTGAATTTATGGGACAGGGCCTGTAGTGCAGGAGAGGACAGGAGTCTCTGCGGTCAGCCAGTAAGCCATGACATCATGCCCTCAGAGAGCCCCGAGCAGGAATGGGCCGACGGTCCCTTCAGCACTGGGGGAGAAGAGCTGCAGAGGACAGGCACTTCTACCCCAGTAACGCCACTCGAAGCAGAGCCTTCCACAACAAGACTGTGAGGGATTAGAGGACCGCATTGACGTCAGCTCTCCAGCGCACAGCACAGCCAGATGGCTAATCTGGGGACAGTAACCTTCTGGAGCCCGAAACAGCACAGTCAGGAAATCAGAGAGGGCGGCTCAAGATGGAGCCACCATGTTCCCTGTTCCTACTCAACGCACCATCATCTGTTTGAACTCAACTAACGGAGTCCCATTTTCAGCTGTGCAGAAATGAACAGAAGGCACAGCAGCTCAATGGGAAGGGGGTTACCGGTTCACCTCCAGAATGCTGCCCATCCGTTTTGATGGGCAAACTGAGGAACACACCCGTAGAGGAAAGGAGAGCTGAACTGTTCCACAGACAGAACAGCGTTTTGGCAGCTTTCCTTCTTTCACCTCCAGCCCATTCCACCACAGGGCCCAAGGAGAATTGGATGTTAATTGATAAATTGACCCACGCTCATAAACACTTAATGAAGAGGGATGAACAAATAAGGGAGCAGGGGCATCAAGTTCACGCCCTGTGGTCTCAGTACGCCTCCTGTTTCAGGGCGCAGCGACAGTGATGCAGCTTGCTAGAACAGCTCTCCGTCTGTGGAGAATCTCCGCACTCCTTAGCTACCAGGCAAGGGATATTATACACAGAAAGATGCTCTTATAATTGGTGGGAGGGAAATCACCCCACTGAATCTCAGTTCGTGCTCACTTTCTACCCCATACACATGAAAGAGACATGAAACCAATTATGAAAGATCCAAAAAGACAGGCATAGGATACCTGCCCCTATCAAGAACATTTCTTTCACGTCAGCCAACCTAAAGTGCAAATCAGTTTTAATCTCGTAAGACGCCTGTGGGAATCTGGGGGTTTTGAATCACGCGATTGCAAGGCTTGAGCCAGAGTGCTGTACCTGACACCCTGTCGCTTAAAACCATCCTTGCTACCGACCCTCCCCTGAAGTGATGCGTCTTAAAATCAGCGTGAAGCACGTTTGTCTTCCAGTGCAGTAAGGTCGCTTAAGGATGAGCTCAATGGCCCACAATTTCTGCAAAGTTAGAGACCCCACCCCCTCCCTCAGAGGTCACCCATTGACACCCTTTCCAGTTTGCTTTCAGCTTTCTGATGAACCCAAACGCTCCGACTCAGGACCACAATACCATCCGTTCCTATCTATTTTTATTACAGTATACCCATTTCTTTTACAGCAGACGAGGATTTAAGCCCGAGTAGTTATTATTAGTCATTACTATAAGCTGCTATAAGAGAACTGTTGCTTCAGTTCAACAGCGTCCTGGAATGAGAATTACAATCACGAGCACTCGTGCACAGAAACAATCCCATAATACCTGAGCACTGGATGTCCTCACCAGCTCAGTAATAGGGCATTTTCTAAATCTCACCATCTGTATTATCAAACTAATTAAATAACTAGATAAGCTAGTTTAACTACAGAATCCTAAGTACTTTTGTTTCCAAGCCACTGTTTTCTGAACACGCAATGTTAAAAAGAATTATGCAGCTCATGATATTACATGTTCACATGGTTTTACAGGATCACGCACACTGCAAGAAATGCACAGCACATGCAAATAAGACTGCAGTTGTCTATAATACAGACACAGCACTGGGCAAATAGGAAACATTTCATGGCACAGTGCACATCCTCCGCCCTGCTGACTGAACCCACACATGATCGGCAACAGTGCATGGTCACAGACTTGTACAGTGCACTGGACTGCTAGGAGACACAATGGGAGGAGGACTATTCAACACTTTTGAGCTCCAGTATGTTCTTCACATTTGGCATTTCTGCAAACTAGCCCTAAAGGGAAGGGCCAGATGCAGCACAGTCTGCAGTCAGGGGCCTCCCACCAGCTGTCTTCACCTAGGAGAAGTGCTGCACTGGTCTGTTTAAACTATACCTGGATCAGTTTCACCCTCTTCCACAACCTCCAGCTGTTGACAGTTTAGGGGCAGAGGCACAGGGAAATCTACTGGAGTGAGAAATCCTTGGTCGGCAATAAGAGTCTCAAACTCCAGGTTTACATCCTGAGCTGGACTATGAGAACAGATTTAGACTGCTGATTTGATTAACTGCACAACTGTAATGCTGCTTCTTTCAAGTCTCTGAGGTGTTGTATAGGTAACAGTATCTTCAAGGTTTAAATAACCAGCTGTAAAACTGGTCTTAGCAGAAATCCTAAAAATGTATAATTGAGAAAGTAAACAAATTGGTTTAACTTATCTCAGACTGGAACAATAAACAAGACACCAGGCACTGAGATGGCATGTACACGTAGTCTTTAAATCTGCCTAGTGCAGCTGGTTGAGAATAGCCTCATGTATTTGGCTGGAGTGTCGGTGCCTAGTGACAAAAGACAGTTCCTGCACACACATTAAATATTCTGTGAACATGTCTGAGCTCCTTAGAATATAATTGTGCACTTGGCTGACCTTTGCTTTCCTGTCTCGTTTTAAAATTAGATGTTGCTGCTTCAGCAAGTAAACCTAGTTTCAGTCTTCACAGGGCAAGTAATCCACCTGTCAAGAGGATTGCTGAAACTTTCCATTAGCACACCAACACACACCAGATAAACACCTGGATTAGAAGAACTAGTTGAAGCTCAGACTTCAGGACAGTTAACGAAGGCCTGTCAATCAGCAGACAATTCCCCTGCTGCGCAGTACCGATACACAAACTGCCAATTCCCCTTGTGACCTTTCCAGACTCACTGTTCCTGTGCTGCTGCGGGCTGAGCAAATTCTAAATTATGAAATGAAAACCTAATACTAACATCAGGAGGGCAAATGATTAAGGTGCATGCTTTCCTGTTATTTCAAAAAGGAAAGTGAGGCAGATGCTATAGATGCAAAAATACAAGATGATTAATTATATTCCAGATTTAAATACGTGGAGAAAAAAATATTATTTACATGACAATATCTACTGGAACGTAATCAGCTGTCTGAATTGGCGGGCGAGGATAACAAGAAACACAAGAGCTCGGCCAGAGTGCTTCTCTCTCTCCCCGAGTGAGACGATAATTTCCATCCACTCTTCCCCAGGGGAAAAATTAAAGCACAGGGGAACTGCTCTCACAGACAGCACAACTTTCTTACTCTAATAATGCTAGCAGGCTCTTCAGCTGCTCACTGCCTGGAAAAAACACCCACTAGCTCAGAATTAAAACGTTTGTGACAATGAACTAAAAGCCCAATTAGCACACACTGATAAGCAGAGAAATTTGACAATTCTAGACTCTCACTATGGAGAAAAATCAATCCCTTTTAAAGGATTTAACACATTTTGCTCTGTGCCCCTGAACTAAAAAAAAAAGTATTATGTTTTTAAAATGTTACTTGGCTCACAATCCCAAATGCTGAATACCATCTACACAACGGTGTTGAAAGAATGGGCAGTTTCTGGGTGGTGCAAGATCACCCCTCCTCTGGCATAATGCTGACTGGGTGACCTTACTGTCTGAACCACCTGCTCTGTCCCTGTGTGGAACCTTTGTCTGATGGCCAGTATAACAGGAGGGTAAACTTCTGGGGTGCACAGCCAGCCTAACTGAGCTGCTTTCAGTCACCTGCAACGATGCTTAGAATACTGAGTTTCTAACACAAGCCTCGTCTGTGTGACAAACCCCACAGCTAGGTGTTTGGGGAGCTTTGGGCGTCCTAAAAGATGCCTGGAAACACTCCAGCCAAGGCATATGAACAATAGGCTTATCATTGACCTTTCTGGATCAATTTAAGCTGAACACCAGAAATGCCTGGGCCATTTATTTAACCACAGAAAGTCTGCATTAAGACACACAAACCTTCATGTTTAATGACTGATATTAAAGCTGTGGGATGTGGGTAGAGTCACTTGCCATTGAGCATCTGTGCAAAAAGTACTTCCAGTATTTACCACTAGAGGTCAATGTTGCAAAGCTTTAAATATTCACAGGCCTAAAAGCTGGCTGGAGAATTATTTGGCACTTCAAATCACTCCAGTTTGAGAACTCACTCTGTTCTCCCATTTTCTATCTGCTAATCTATGCTTCATCCAAATGGATAATACATGCACCACCACCACATCTTGAATGTCTACTGCCTGCAACTTAACCAAATGCCTTCTAGAAATCTACACATGCTGTATACATTAATGTTGATGCTTTAACAAAAGCCTTTCTAAATCCATGCCAAGCACCCTCTAGCCAGAACCGTGCTGCCATGCAGATCCAGTTTATATCTAATGAGGTTTCATATCTATATACTGTATGTAACAGGAGGAAGACTTGCTGATCTGGAAACACATGGCTCGGTTTTGTCGCTCTTCCTGTGGGTGGGTGCTATACTAGGCTGTTGAAGGACTGAGGCATGAATTAAAGCTACTTTCCTTCAGCGCAATCAATGGAACACCATCGGGCCCAGGAGACCTGTTCATCTCAAGAGCTTCCAGGACCTAGAACATTTCTACCCCTTCTACGCTAATATGACTCAATAAAACAGATCCCGATCTCAGCCGCCCGGGGGCTGGTGGCGGTTTCTGTCATGGTTAACCCCCGCACTGCCGGGAGAAGATCTGCAAGTACCTCCTCCTCCTCCAAGACAGGACAAGTTAGAGCAGTAGAACAGGTTTACATTGCAGCTCCACTTCAAATTTCAGAGTAAAAACCCAAATGCTTATGTTTCTCTACATATACAAAACGGAGCTCCAAAAGAAACCACTTGAACTTTCTTTCAGCACTGGTCTGTGGTCTTTCCGCACAGCGCGCTAGTGCAGTCTCTTGAGGGGAGGTGGCAGGGCCCTGACCTCCAGACAGGGTCGGCATAGTGATATAGTAATCCCTTAAAACCCTATGGCCTTCCAGCGACTACAGTAATCTGTGTGGCACTTGGCCAGGGACAGGGCTAAACTCCTGCTCCCCCCCACTTCTCTACCCTGGGGAAGGGAGGGTGGGGAATTCCCCCCTAGGGGAAGTTTCCTTTTCCGACCTCAAAATTCCAGCAACCGAGACACTATTCAAACCAATACAGCAAAGCTTCCCACCTGAGCCCAGAAAAACAATGACTGGAGTTACAGAGCAAAGTAGCAAGAAATGGCGCGGAGGAGGCGAGCAGACGGAGGCCACATGCGAGAAAGAGAAAGCCCTTAGGGCGGAACAGAGGCAGGACAAGACCATGCCCGACCCCCGTGAGGGCGGGACAGTACCGTACCTCCGCCCTGTATGGCAGGAAGAGGGCGCTGGCCAGGTTGCCCGTGATGCCGCTCAGGATGTAGATGATGGAGATGCGCACCCAACCGGCTAGCTTCTCCAAGTCCCGCAGCACCGTCATCTGGAACACCACTGACACCAGGCAGTGCAGGATCCTGCGGATCGCGGCACAGAGTGAGCGCAGGACCCCCACCCCAGTATAGAAGAAATCGGGTCAAGCCACAAACGAAGAGGACATGATTATCTACACAGGCCTCAAGGGTTTCAAAGAACATTCCAATTTAACACTAAAGACCTCTACAAGAGATCCCCATCTTTATTTATGTTATAACAAGGCAGTGTTTATCAATCTTTTTTTGTACCAGGAACCACCTCCCTAAGGTTGTCCTCCTCTTAGGCTAAAAAGCAGGAAGAATACAGTTCAGTCAGTTTTGGCCCATCAGTGACAAGTCAGCATTGCTCCGGGGACCAGTATCAGTGCATGAATCAGGGGTTGAGAAAAGTGGTTATGAGACAGTATTTTGCTTTTTAGGCACTTTAGGGGAAAAAGATAATGATGGAAACCAGACCGACACTTCTGAACCATCTTTGCAATGTAGTTATACATCAAAGCTCTCTCTCATGTATTGAAAATAAAGCGAACATAGCGCACGAGTAGCCTGCTGGCCTTTAACCAAAGTAAGATAGTTAAAGACGGAGAATGAAGGACGCAGTGGAAGGATGATGCTCAAAAACAGTCAACCCAGGCTCGTTGGCTGTAGGCACAGCCTCACCCTGCATGCAGAAACAAGGAGAGCCACAGCCGGTAGAACTGGTCGGGAACGTCAGGATTCAGGAACGGCAGGAGTCCGCAAACCTCATCCATGCAGTGCACCTGGGAACAGGAACAGCAGAGTGAGCTGTCTGTCAGGCTGACAGAGACCAAGTGATAATCAAAGGACTTGGGTTTGCAGGGAAGGCGGAAAACGCCCACCAGCAGAAGCACCTTTCTGTAACCATGCACCTGCAACACGAGGCCAGACAGGCTACACCCCCTGTCCTGGAACTGAAAACCTCAGTTTTGGGGATTACTGCACCATTGTGTAGTCCAGATGACACAGCCTGACCCAAACCACAGTACCTGCGAGCACAGCGTCGCCTCCTCATGGAAATACCCATGCATGAAGGTGCAATACTCTCGCGTGGTAATCTCACATCTACAGAGGAGAAAAATACAAAAAGCTTACTTTCTAAGGGCATACAGGGATTCCTAAGACCAGCCTCGAAGACGTTTCTCACCTGCCCTTCGTCCCGATGCAGCAGGGTCTGCCCTTGATTGCACAGTCCATGTGCTTGTGCCCTGTATGGTTACTCTGGGCCTGATAGGTACAGATCTGAAAACACACAGAACAGCACGTTAGCACTCAGAGAGACCCCTGGGAATGTCTGTCCTGAATCTGCTACTTTCTCCCAATGGCCATAAGTCGCCTGAACCATTCCTGACAGGAGCCGTTTGGTTGCAGCGTGTGGAAGACGGAAGGAGGACTTCTGCTCAGCTCCCGGCACCGTGCCGAACTCACCGGCCACTTGGTGATGTCGTCCGGCCACACGTGAGGCTCGGCTGAGGCCGGCTCTTCGCAAGTCCTACCGCCAGGCATGGAGAGAGAGAGAGAGGGAAGGAAAACAGAGCAGAGGACAGTCACACATCCAGAGCTCTTGCTGGAAGAGAGATGAATGTACAGAAGGGACATGATCGAATTCTTTAAAATTTGAATTTTTTGATAATGCTTTTCAGCTGGGGAGACTGAGCCCCTTCGCTCATGTCAAGGCCTGTCAACAGGGCCTGGATAAGGGGCTCCACTACAGCCCCAGGTCTTGTCCAGGATTTCACTCTCCTTCCTCCTCAAAAACCCTCCTGGCCTGCCTAATGCACCACCTTCTCACAGGGAATTAGA